GGAGCTGGTGGGGAGATGGGGGTATCCCCAAGTTAAAATGTCATACACCTCACTGTTCTGAGATGCAGCAGCTTTTCTTCAATAAACACTTTTAATTTATTGTATGCCTTTGGTTCAATGTCCAGAGTTCTGAAAGGGTTGCTTTTCACAATCCGATATTGTCACTACTGTGTAAGGGTAGTCAGTTTGCTGAAGATTCCTCCACCATTTGGACATCTCACTTCTGGGTAATACATTACATGGTTACTTTACTTTTAAAAAGGGTCAACTGCCCTGGCTGGTTCTGCTCAGTGGTTAGAGCATCGGCCTGCGGACCAGAGAGTCCCGGTTCGGTTCCTGCTAAGGGCACATACCTTGGTTGCAGTTTGTCCCCGGCCCTGGTTGGGGTTGTGTGGGTGGCACCACTCGATGTGTCTCTCTCGCATTGATGTTTCTCTCCCCTCTCCCTCTCACTCTATCTGAAAATAAATGCAAAAATGTCCTTGGGTGAGGATAAAAAAAAAAAAAGGGTCAACCTGTTACTCATCCTAAGCCAGTTGTCACCAACTGGGGCTGTTTTGCTGTGTTGTTATGGCAAATTTAGATGGGTTTAAAAAACCCTGAATAATGAATGGATAAAATAGCTGTGGTACATATACACAATGGAGTACTATGCAACGATAAGAAAGAAAGATCTCTTATCCTTTAAGACGACATGGAGGGACCTGGAAAGTATTATCCTAAGTGAAAGAAGCCAAGCAGAAAAAGACAAATACCACATGATCTCACTTATTTGTGGAATATAATGAACATAACAGTCTGAGGAATACAGTAGACCCAGAAACATGGAAATAGGGCACAGACTGACATCCCTCAGAAGAGGGGGGGGGGGTGGGAAGAGATAAACCACAGAACTTATATGCATGTATGCATGACCAATGGACATGGACAACTAAGCCGGGGACGGGGCGGAGGTGGGGTGGGGTGGGGGTGCCAATGGGGTAAAAAAGGTAAAATATCTGTAACAAAAAAATAAATAAAAAATTTATAAAAAAAAACAAAACCCTGAATAATTTTATTTTATTTGTAAACTTTTTAAAAAATATGTTTTTATTGATTTTTTTTTTTTTAAGAGAGAGAGAGGAAGGGAGAAATAGAAACATCGATGTGAGAGAGAAACATCGATCGACTGCCTCCTGCACCACCCCCACTGAGGATTGAGCCCAAAACTCAGGCAACCTGGGCAACATGGAGCCCTGACAGGGAATCAAACCAGGACCCCTCAGTCCATGGGACATGCTCAATCCACTGGGCCACCCCAGCCGGGCTTTATTTATAAACTTTAAGAAAACATGTTCTCTGGGTGGAATGCGGTTCCATCACGTCCAGTCCACCCACTTCCAGGGTTCAGTCACTCCATCATTTCTCCCTGACTGAGTAGCTGCCACTGGCCTGGAGTACGCTGGCTGTCAGGGACACTGTGGGAGCAACAGCCTCCCGATCACAGGAAGGATATAGACTATGTTGAACTTAGATTAGTATATTGACTCAATCAGGGCTCATTTCAAGTTTTCCTTTTTTTTTTCTTTTTTCTTTTATTCTCACCTGAGGACAGTGTCCGATAGCCTGGGGACTGATGCCAGGCAAAGTGCTCGACCATAGTCTCGCTTGCTCAGCCTTGTCTCCCACCCTGAACAGCCTACCTCGAGCTTGTAGATTAACTCCCATCTTGTTCTTATCGATTCACATTCCAGAGGCTCCATGCATGGCCCCCGCAGGGCCAAACCCTAAGGGACAAATTCCAGCTGCAACAGGCAGATATAAAAGACACAAGCCCCTACATTGAGCGCGGCTTCTAGGACTCGACCCCCCGGAGTCTGTGAACCCGCCCGGAGTGTACCCAATAAAGCCTGATCCCTGTTTATTCGGCTGATTGGCTCTCCAGTCTCTTCTCTGTTTTATTCGGCGGTGCCCCCGATTCCTTACAGACAGTTTTGCATTTATCTTCAGATAGAACAGGAGGGAGAGAGGGAGGAAGAGAGAGAGAAACATCGATGTGAGAGAGACACATTGACTCGTTGCTACCCATACGACCCCGGTTGGGGCCGGGTACAAACTGCAACCGAGGTACGTGCCCTTAGTAGAAACCAAATCGGGACTCTCTGGTCCTCGGGCCAATGCTCTAACTGCTGAGCCAAACCAGCCAGGGCTCAAGTTTTCCTTTTTAAGGTATATGTTACAAAATATCATATCCGATCTTTGGTTTTATTTGTCTTTCAATTTGAACTCAGAAAAGCGAAGGAAAACTATTTCTTAGACCTCTCTATTAGGGAAAATCTAAGCAGTAAATATTTTTGAATCACACATTTCCATAAAGAACCCATGCTCATTTCAAAATAAGCTACAGCTCATTAGATTTTGGGGGTTGAGATAGTCATTGAAAATGACATTGACAAACATAATCATGCAAATCTTTGATGAAATGAACCTTTTCTGTGCACTTCAAAAGCCTTACCTTTCAGGGCTGCAGACCTAGTAAGCAGTCACAATAATCAGAGTAATTCATATTCAAATGCTAACCATGTTTGCTTAGGGGCATCGATTTTCCCAGCTGCGTTAGTATGATAAAAGAGACATTAAGATTAATTTTTAAATATTTAAAATACTGTTTTCATTGAGAGAACTGTGGCATTTCCAATTCTTTTTTGAAAGTTCTTTTTGATTGGAAGATAATTCTTACAATACAGGCTAATGTTGATTGAAAATTGGATGTCATTGGAGTCAGCCTTCGCCTTGAGGTAGACCCCGGGAAACCATCGCCACTCACAGCGGTGCCCTGGGAGGAGGTTCAGTGCCCCTCTCTCACCCCCCCACCCCATGTGAACTGGTGTGATGGGGAGTGCTACCCTCACAAGTCCATCCTATCAGGAGGAGTTTCTTCTATCACAGAAGCACTGATTGTTTTACTGCACAAGGAACAGACTTAAAGGTCATGTTTTCAGTGACAGAAACTCTCCAGGGCATTCTTAGTATATAATCATTCAACCAGGGCTGGAAACAAGGTTTCCATTTTCGGTTACATTCTTCTTCTAAATCAACTTCCATCCAAAAGCAGCCGCGTGGTGTTCTGGACCCATAGTTAGTAACCATGGGAACGGAAAGCGTGGTCTGCATTTTCTCCTAACCTGTGATATGATTTGAGCCAATCAATGGATTAACCTCTTGGGGTTTTAACATCCCCATTTGTAAAAGAGACATTTCTAATGTACTGTGTACCTGTTCCCCATAACTTGTCCCATAGGGCACAGAGAGAGTTATGTCTAAGGTGTTAACAAATAGATTAGAAGATTTAAAAACTCCTTATCCATCTTCAACAAGGGTGTTTGCTACACCATTTTAACTTGGGTAGTTAGATAGAAGCATTTGAACCCAATTTTTGTATATAAGCATTTAGGCCACCGTTAGCCAAAGCTTGCCCTAGATAGACACATAGGTTCCTGGGAAATGCAGAATACTGATTGCTGACTTATTAGAATATTCTTTCTATTTATGGCGATGTCAAAAGAGATACATTTAAATACCGTGGTTCTAAAAGTAGGGCACTGTAATTTATAACTCTTTTTAAAATTTGTATTTCTTGCCTTATCATTTTCCCCAAGATGATTCTTTATTTGTGTTCATTAAAAATAACGAACATTGAAGTTTCTACAATTCAAAATCAGAGAGCAGAAAAATGTAATTTTTTTTTTTTTTTTTTGCTAAACATGCATGAGAGTTAAGCCCGAGCAACATGCTGATGTAGAAGGCAGAGCTCACCCAGGAGTCACTCAGCAGAGCTGCTGGGGTTTTTCTGTAACAAAGCCGAGGACTTGTCAAGACAATTCCAGAAACCTGATAGGAAAGACATCATCTTCTATCAGGACTGCGATGTTCAAAGCGAGTGTTTGTATGAGTGGTCACTTAGACGTCACTCACGGTAGGTTTCTCTCCGGACTCCCAGGCAGAGCTAAAGCTGTGAAGACCGTGTGAGGGAAATGTAACCGGGCAGTGAAGGAACACGCACGTTTCACACCGAGTCTCAGGCTGGCTCGCCTTTGGTTCGGGCACACGTTATGCTGATATTATGGAAGCACACACATTATTCTACAGGCTAGCACATTTACAGTAAAGAAAGGCGTCTCCGTGAAGATCTGGGAGCACCTTGCCCTCAGCACCGGCCCATGTGGGGAGCAGCCTCGGGTCGGGCTCCATCAAGGGGAGACCCCCGGGACGGCGCCGTGGACACGTATGTGATGGGGAAATGTTTATGGTTTTACTTACTGGCCCTCACTGTGGTAGGAATCAGCTATGTCCTTACATGCTGCCCCCCAGGAAATTAGATTTGGACAGCAGTGAATTACCAAGGAAGTTTTTTTTTTTCTTTTGCATTTTCCCTCTATTTTAAATTTTATTTTTCAGTTCCAGTTGACATTCAGTATTACTTTGTATTAGTTTCAGAGGTACAGCATAGTAGTCACACAACCATATTCATTATAGTGTCCCCCCAATATCTCTAGCGCCCACCCAAGCAATTCCAGGATGGCTTACCTCTGCATCATATTTAGAAAACGAATCCACCAAAATGGGAATTTTTTTTTAAAAATGACATTTAGCCACAAGATCAGTTCAGTTTTTATTTTTTAATGACCATTTAAGGTTCATATACAAAAGCTAACAGAGCAATAAGTCAGTCACGAGAGACTTGAACAGGAAGTAAGATGGAAAAGGACAGTCACAATTCGCACCACGAAGCGTCACACTGGTTGCGGTGAGGTTCGGTCAGACCCCGACGGGTGAGCACGCGGCCAACGCCAGCTGTCCTCACACAACTGTTCATTTAACACCTTTTCTTTCTTGATCACTATTCAGTTTGTAAGGGCTGCCTCCCCCCACCCCCCCCACCCCCACCCCCCAACAAAGATTTTTTGAAGCAGTTAATTTTTTCCTTGGGGAAGTATTTTATCTGTTACTCTAACATGGTCTTGTTATTAAATTTGTCTGCATAAATATTTGCCTATTCTATTTTGTAAAGTGAGGTCATGCAGGACTCGCTAATTTCTGAACAGTAAGAATTATCAAAGGCGATGACTTTTGTCCATAAAGGCTCACAGTTCCTTTTTAATGAAAAATGTGCTCTTTGTGGTCTTTGTCTCTTGCGAGAGTTGGTCAAGTAATAACTGTGAGCATTTCCTAAAATAGTTCTTTGCTGGGAAACTTTGTATGAAATGACATCGGAAGTATAAAAATGTTGTTCGGTAACCCTCGGAACCGTTAAAAATAGACTTATCTTGTTTGTAAACTATCTCAGTGTCAGATACTGAGCATCTGAGTATCAGAACCGTTCTGGTTTTCTAGAAAGTTCTTTGTTTTGTTTATCAATGTGACATTTTTGAAACATCTGACGTAATATGTAGAAACATCAAGGCAATAGTATTTGTACCTATTATTAAACATGCAAAAAAATTCCTGAAAGATGGCGCCCTCGTTCGGAAAGTCCCCCTGAGCTCAGCCCCTCCTGGGTACCACCCGCGGGAGTATGGCTCTCTTGGAGTTGGGGTGAGGCGGGTCAATTTGGAGAGGTGGCCCCTTTAATCACCGGCTCCCGATTCAAATACGTGGCCCAGTAAACCAAGTTGAAAGTTCCGAACAGGACGGGGAACACGATTCGGGACATTTTGTCGATCTTGCTGATGCTGTTGTAGGTCTTTTTGCTTTCAGGGGTCTTGTCCTCGGAAGGGTTTGCTGCGGCCGAGGGGGCCCTGGAGGGCCCTGCCGGGGCCTGCTCCTGTGGGATGTTGGGGGGGTGGGTCATCTTCCCCGTGGTGTATGCGTTCGTTGACTTATTCAATATGCGTTCCCGCTCCTTTTTCTGCAAAATACAATAAGAATCTAAGGGCAATGCCATTCCCGGGCAGCGGCCAGCTCCCTTCTGAAGGCTCATCTGTGAAAAGAGAAAGATCCACCGACTTAGCTCCGGGAGAGGGCAGGCCCCGCCGTCTTGGACGTGAAATGCTACAGCAGGGGCCCCGACAGGCAAGAAATATCTCAGCAAAAGCAATGGGCCTGAGATGAACAGCCCAGGCCCTTCACCTGAAGAGAACAGAGCCCGCGGCTCACAAGGGCCGGGACAGGACCTGTCGGGAGATCTCGCAGGGACCTGGGACAGGGAAGGGTCCTGTGGTTGGGGACAGGGAGACAGGGAGGAGAACACCTTGGCTTATAGGTGGACGTAGGATCGGGCACATTTTCTCAGTCAGAGAATCCGGAAGGAGGAGGAGGAGGAGGAGGAAGTGGGTCCGTACCTTGATCTTGGCAGCCTCCAAGGCCTTCTTGCCGTCCCAGGCCCAGCCCCTCTTCGTGAAGTAGTTGACCGTGGCAAACTCGATCAGCGCGGAGAACACGAAGGCGTAGCACACGGCGATGAACCAGTCCATGGCCGTGGCGTAGGCCACCTTGGGCAGCGAGTTCCGGGCGCTGATGCTGAGGGTCGTCATGGTCAGCACCGTGGTCACCCCTGGTGACGGGGTGGGTGAGAGCGGAAACAGGGGTCACTGCCCGCACCCGGAGCCCGCGTGACCCCCTGAATGTAACAGACAAGGGCAGGGAAGGCGCTGGTCCCTGTGTCCCAGCCCACACCTGCACTTCAACGTTCCTAGCGTTTAAAATACCGGTTCCTGCCCTGGCCAGTTTGGCTCAGCGGTTAGAGCATCGGCCTGCGGTCCAGAGAGACCCGGGTTCGGTTCCCGCTAAGGGCATGTACCTCGGTTGCAGTTTGTCTCCGGCCCTGGTTGGTCGTGCGGGTGGCAGCCACTCGATGTGTCCCTTTCACGTCGACGTTTCTCTCTCTCTCTCTCCCTCTCTCTCCGTCCCACTCTATCTGTACAAAAAATGGAAAAATGTCCTCGGGTGAGGATAAAAAAAAAAAATTTAAAAAAATAAAATATCGGTTCCTGCATTTGTCCTGTTGATTGTCTCCTTCTCCTAGAACAGAAACTGAGGCCGGGTTTGGGGTCTGATGGATGGACACGCCCTAACGGTGTCCCCATTGCCCTGACCGAGCCCAGCAAACAGCTGACGCTGGACACAGATGAGTCGCATGAGTGCTGTCTGTTCTTGGCGGTCAAGATCCAATTGAGAAAGGGCAGTGCCCGTGTCACAGACTTGTACCCGCACATTCCGCGTCATGGGCTCGGGCACCCCGAGGTGACAGCCTCGCTTTCACACGGGTGAATCCACCCCGAGTCTTCCCGGGGTCCGCGTGCAGCAGGAGCACGCGTTGGAGTCTGGGTCTTGGCATTCCACCCCCTCCGAGGCGACCAGTGTCCCCCGCGGGGGCTGCCAGCGAACGCGTTCCAGACAGAAACGATGACCATACTCCCTACACCCCGCTGAGAGCGCAGGCCTGGTCCCAGTCCGTACCACCGCATCCTCGCCGCTTGTCCTTGGTTTCCAGGGCACAGAACAGAGACTGTTGTTGGGGTGGTCACAGCACGCCAGTGCAGGCCTGGCTTGGGGACACTCACCGAACACCGTCCTGGCTGGGACGGACTCCCGATTCAGCCAAAAGGAGACCTGGGACAAGATCACTGTCATGATGCAGGGAAGGTAGGTCTGGATGACAAAGTACCCGATCTTCCTCTTCAGGTGAAAATGAGCCGTCATGATGGTGTATTCACCTGCAAATAAGCAAATTTGTGCAGTCGGCCACTGGAGTCCCGGAGTCCTGTGGTCCCCTCTGGGTCCCACGCTGGGCCCCAGGCTGCTGACCTCTGCCCCTCCCACCAGGCGAGTGTGCATGGTTTGGGTGAGGGAGAGGATGGAACACCGCGTGGATTTCTTAACGGTCATTTCGTAGGACGTCTGACCTCCAGCCTTTGCAGGGCCTGTGCCGTGGGTGGTTTTCCCAGGGAAAATCGGATTTCTATGATTCCTAATCCCCCGTCACAGTCTGCTCCCCTCACCCGCCTCCTCGCTGCGGCTGCTGCCATCAGAATTCAGGTTTTAGCCTCTCCAGATGGAACTGGGGTATCACGGAGCCCTGTGGTGGGTGGAGGGGTTTCGCCCTGTCTCCCAGCCAGGGAGGCTCCCAGGAGCTCGGGTGACCACCCCACACAGGCTCCATGCCCGTCCTGGGGTAGGGTGAGCAGCAGCAGCTCCCGGAGGCCGGGGTCCTGGCAGCCCCTCTTCCCCCGCTGGCCAGGGAGCGGGCTCACTGCTGGGCGATGCCGCAGGGCCTCCTCTGGGTCTGCCTGGCGGTGTGGGAGGCCAGCGGGGACCTCCCGTTCATCCCCCAGAACGATGCTGCCCTGATGGTGAACTGGTAAGGAGCGGCTGCAGGGGGGGGGGGGGCTCATGGGCCGCAGGAGAGTGGGGGGGCTGATGGGCTGCAGGGGGCTGATGGGCCGAGGCTCCCCGGGAGCTGGGAAGGGAGCTCTCGGAGGTGAGGCAGAGCCGAGCTGATCTGAGGACCAGAGGTCTTTGGCTGAACTGCGAGTAGATGGTGTGATCAGGGAGCCTGGCTGAACCTGGGGCTCTGTCCACGCGGCGCCATCACTGAGGCGGTCTGCGGGCTGTGTGGGAGCGTGGGGCTCTCGACGCTGACAACTAATGGAGCTCCAGTGCTTGCTGTCGGAAGCGAAGCCCAGAGCTCAGCAGGGCCGGCTGAGGGTGTGTCCCCACCTGCCTTTAGTCACAGCCCAATGTCAGGTGGAAGGAGGCAGCAAGACCACAGGGGGTGAAATCTGCCCCTCGCAGCATTGCCTCCGGACCGGAGGTGGCAGGCCACACTCTCCTGCCCCGCCCGGCCCAGGCCGGTGACAACAGGGGGGAGGGGCCAGCCGGCTCGTCTGTCCCTCACAGCAGAAAAGCCAGACACAGAGAAAGGGGGTGAGACCCCTGTAGTAGCCAGGACTGGATCTTGATAACAACCCTGATCGCCTCTCCTAACACCTGAGCACGGGAAGGGGGTGGGGGGGACACACACTTTCTATTTCTTTGCAGGAGGGTTTGAAATGATGTCCCTCCTCTTAATTCTTCATTGGTGCTGTTCTTCCCTCTTTGTTTGAGAACTGACGGTGGCGATATCAGATAGTGTCACAAAGAGGGGCGGGAGCCTCACTGATAATGTGAACAGAACTTGCGGAGACGGCAAACCTTAGCGTCACCCTTCACCATCGCGACTCCTCACTCTGCATCCCTTCCAGGGACACCTTCCCCTTGTTCCCATCCAATCGGGTCTGTCTTCTCTCTGTTGGCACTCAGCACGGTGACCACACGGTGAGGCCGCTGCCCTGCCCCGTACCTGCCAGGATCTCACCTGTGCCCGGGACACCCAGCTACAGTGGACACGACTAAAAGTCCATGTTTTCTGTGCCGTCAGTGTTGGCGGTGCTGAGAAAGCAGGGTGCTGACCGGGGCTCCCCGGAAGATGTCCTCTGGGGATAGAACTCATGCTGCAGTCAGAGCTCACGCCACCTGGAGGCGCTCTGGACCCTGCACTGCTCACAGCCAGCTTGTGACCCTGGTCCAGAGCGGGGCCTGGTGCGGCCGCCAGGGTCTGCGGACACGGTGCAGCCTCACCTGCCCGTCTGCGTCAGGGGAAGCGCCGGGTGTACGCTCAGGTCGGTCACGCACAGGGGAGAGCACTGGCTGTTTGCTGTTCAAAATTCAACCCTGGGGACATTTTATTTGAAATGTTCCAAGCAGGAGGGAGGGGCAGCTATAGGAGGGTATCTGCCTGCAGTCAGCTAGTGTGTGACAGGGCAGGGCTGTTAAGGAGGCTGGTCTGCGTGGCCCCAGGCAGGGCCCCGGTCACAGGGTCTGCTCAGGTGGGTCACAGCACTGCCCGTTCCTGCCCGGAGCGTCCCTGCTGCGGCTGCCACCAAGCCCAGCAGCGAGCGTACCCCAGATCGCTCAGCGGGCGGCGCACAGGCCGGGCAGGTCGGGTGGTGTCCCCTCCAGCCTGCTGCTGGGGCCCGAGCTCCCCGGGGTGTGGCGTCCGGCGTGCACTGGGTCTCACCCGTGCTTGTGGTGATGTTCTCCGTGCCCACCGTCTGCCCCACCAGGTGGTACTGGTTCAGCCTGGAGCCATCTTCTGCCACCACCACCGACTTGGAGGTGTCGTTGGTCCAGACATAGACGACTTCGGAGTTAGGGTACGCGTCTGCATGGGGCGGGAGGGGGGATAGCGTCATTCGAAAGCAGGCTCAACCAAAGGAGCAAGAAAGATGCTAAAAGTCCAAGTTCGACGACGGAGAGGGTGCAGAGCAGGGCGGGGGCCGCCACCGGCCCTGAACTGCTCAGTCCTTCCACTTCCCAACTCGGGGTGCCCCGGCTGCATTTTCTCTTCAGGGGCCCTGAACCCACAGTGCCTGGGGGATCCCCCAGCTCTCTGGCACTGGGCTAGTCACCCCTGTCCTGCGCCTCCGGTTTCCCACCTGTAGAATGGGGTGGGGCAGCCGCTAGTCTTGGGCTCCTGCGGGTAATGACAGAATGCACAGCCCTGGGCAGCTCCTGCCGGCACAGCACCTGGGTCGACTCTGCAAGGCCATGCGACCTGGCGCCCAGGGAGCCTGGTGGGAAGGTGGCACGGCAGGCACGGCTTCCATCCCTGGTGTCACGCCTGTGAATGTTGGGCTGCAAGGCGCCAGGCGCCATGCAGGTGGAATTAAGGCTTCGGGCTTTAAGATCAGGAGATCATCCTGGATTATCCTAGTGGGACCAGGATAATCATATGAGTCCTGGAAAACAGATAGCTTTCTCCAGCGGAGCCATCAGACGCAGCTCAGTAAATGCATAAAACCAGGCGGGCCCACCTCATCTGGCTCTGCGAAGCCAGGAAGAGGAGGTCCCCGCAGGGAGCCAGGACCCTCGGCCCTCCAGCCATATGCAGCAGTCCTGCCGACACCTAGTGAGGCTGGGATTCCCGGACCTCAGCCCTGCTGACACCTGCCTTTGGCCTCGTGAGACCCAGAGAGAGAAACCGGCACCCTCTGCGTTTCTGCCCGCAGGCCTGCAAGACAACAAACCTGTGTGCTCAGCTAAACCGGTTTGGCTCAGCGGTTAGAGCGTCGGCCCGCGGACCGGAGAGTCCCAGGTTCGGTTCCCGCTAAGGGCACGTACCTCGGTTGCAGTTTGTCCCTGGCCCTGGTTGGGGTCATGTGGATGGCAACCACTCAATGTGTCTCTCTCACATCAATGACTCTCCCCCCCCCCCGCCTCCTGCTCTATCTGAAGATGAATGCAAAAGTGTCCTCGGGTGAGGATAAAAGAATAATAATAAAAATGTGCTGATTTGAGAGAGAGAGAGGGAGAGTCATTGCTCCGTTGCTCACTTGTGCATGCACTCATGGGCTGCTTCTGTGTGTGCTCTGGCGGGGATCGAACCAGGAAGCCTCAGGGCAATAGCTCCACCGTGAGGGTGAGGACCGTCTGGGAACAGAGGCCTGTGTCTGAGCACAGAGCACAGAAGACAATGCCCTGCCTCCCCCCTGGGAGCTGGGTAGCTGCTGGATCTGCTCAGGGACCAAGGTGGCGGGAGGACAAGGAGCAGATGAGACACAGGATATCAGGACGTGTGGGGTGTCCTGGAGCTCGGCAGAGGTCTGGCGGCGCAGGGGCCTCCTCTGGTGGCCTCGGATGTGAGGACGCAGATGGGAGTTGTGAGGTGCTGGAGGCACAGACGTGGCTGCAGGGGCTGGGACGGGCCTGTAGGGGGCATCACCCTACCCCATCTGCTCCCCTGCCTGGGGGCTGGGCACCGTTTTCTTTGGGGGACCTGGGAGTGGCCACAGTGACAGACGGCTCTCCCCGGGTTCTGTGGCTGGGTGGCGTGGTGACCAGGGAGCGTGTCTGTGCAGCGACCACTGGCTGAGGAGGAGACTCTGACACCTGCAGGCTCGGCTTTGCTGGACACGAGTCTCCCAAGCCCCTCCCTGCATTGCGAGTGGGGTGCTGGTGAATAATAACACTTCTGCCGTGAGGACTCCCCAAAGCAATCTCTGTAACCAGATCAAAGTCACCTGAAGTCACCGAGTGATGTACACACGTCACTGATGGTGCATCCACACAATGCACAGCCCTTATGACCTATTAATACCGATAGTGTTAACAGCATTAGTGATCACGAAGTCCGCGTGGCCTCCGGCGGGCCGGCTGCGGGCGACCTGCAGACACGCTGCGTTCTGCTCTTCAGATTACGGGGGGATAGATGCCCCCTCGTGGGCCTTGCAGCCTGGCGCCCCGGTGAGCATCAGTCTCAGGCCTCAGACGCGGTAAGCGAGGCAATCTGCCGACCTGCCCTCCTGGGCCGTGATTGAAAGCTCCAGGCCCCTGATCCGCGCCTCCCGCGGACCATCCGTCAGCGGGCCAGGCGGGCAGCGGGCAATGTTTTCACTCACAAGGGCCTGGGGAATTCATCACTGTCTTCTCCGTCCTCCTCCCTCTGGCTGACGCTTCCTGCCTGCCCTCCGCCTGCGGCCAGCCCTGAACAGGGCCCGGCGCACTCAGCCCGACGACAAGGGCTCCAGAAACCGTGGGCCTCACTGCGAGCGAAATGTAGCCCCTGACCTTGACCTTCATCAGCCACTTATGCTCTAAGCCTCTATCTGAGACCTTCTTAGGTCAGGGGACATACCCCGCTCTTCCAGGGTGGCTACGGCCGAAAGTGTGTCCCTCAGGGCCGAGTACCTTACTACGCCCGACACACAGTAGGTGCTTCGTAAATAGTAGCTACGAGACACGTGACCTTGTGCTGGGGAGGGTTTTTGTTTGGCGTCAAATTCAGCCTCAGGAAAAGATCTTTCTACCCGGGTTCATGTCTAGTGATGGTCACAAGACAACCCAACCTGTGAGGACCATTGGTTCGCCCTCTCCGACAGGCTGCGGGACCCAGGAATGGCCAGTGACCAGCCAGGACATCTGTTTTACTCTGTGCGTTCACAGAGTGAATGTTAGAATAAATGCAGCTTACGGTGTCATTGGTAGTTGGAATTTTGGTGATCAGGAAACATACAGGATTGAAGTTCTCTGACACCATGTCCTCAGACTCACTCTCTGTCCTAAAACTGAGGGTGGGGATGTGTGTGACCTTCTGCAGGTCCCTCGAGCTCCCGAGCCTCTGTCTCAGCCTCCTACCCTGAACACCAACAGCACATACTGGACCAGAAGCCTTGTGAGGGTCAGAGTGTGTGGACACATTACCTACAGGGTTAACCAATGCATCTGAACCCACCACCCAGGTGAACCTCAGCGTGCGTTGAACTCACAGCCTGGGCCCTGCGTTCTAGGCTGCCCACAGCCTGGGCCCAGTGTTCTAGGTCGCCCGCAGCCTGGGCCCTGCGTTCTAGGCTGCCCACAGCCTGGGCCCTGCGTTCTAGGTCGCCCGCAGCCTGGGCCCTGCGTTCTAGGTCGCCCGCAGCCTGGGCCCAGTGTTCTAGGTCGCCCGCAGCCTGGGCCCTGCGTTCTAGGCCGCCCGTACTGTGCTGGGTGGCTGCACTGAGCATGCCCAATGCCGGAGCACAGCCAGCATTCTGGTGCACGATCATGAGACCTACCCCGAATTTCTGAAATTCTCTCCACGAGATGTTTACCGAGGAGGCATCTGGGTCTACCTTAGTGTACATTTCCATGAACCCAGATGGTCTCTCGTGACTGAGTCTGGTGTTTAATGCATCCTTCCACAAATAAAATGAACAACAAAAAATGTTAGGTTCTCGTTTTCTTTTCTAACGAGCCTTGCTTTGTCTTCCGAATGTAAGCCACGCCATCCCGTCTCAGGGATCTGCCGGACTGGACGCCTCCCCTGCAAACCAGCGCTGATTGGGCACTGGGTGGGGAGCAGAGGGGTACCTGTCAGTTCAGTCTGCGTTCCCCCCAAGCTCAGGCATGTGGCTCATTAGAATAATGGTGCCTATTTGCATTTCTTTGTCTCCTGACGGCAGAGAATGTCGGCTGGATCATTTAAAACTCATTATACTCTCACATTTAGCCTCTGCAGACTCAGATGCCGATGGTATAAGCAAACGGCCAGGCAGCTATTTTTAGTAAATCCCCCCCCCAAAAAAAAAGAAAGAAAGATAAAACAGGAAGAAAAACACTTAATTAAATAACATTCGTTCTCTTAAAATCGCCACGTCCTGAGCCGAAACCACCTGCCTCAAGGACAGGTGAGTTGTGCAGCATCTCGCTCCTGGTCAGCTGTCTGCACACCTGACACTCGAAGAAAACCCTCCTAATTGCTGTGTAGACAGGAATAGGCTGGGCCTTTTGTGTAACGATTTCTTCTTTAGTTCACCTCTTGCTCCTCACATTTTACTACGCCAGCCGGAGGGACCAAGTGCACCGTCATCACTTTGCTTAGAAATATCCTCAGCTAAATATCCAATTTCAAAGCTGGCCAGTTCGCCCACAAAACACCAGCACTCGATTTGGCCAAGCGCTTTGCCAATTTATAACAAGGATGCTTCTCCTCCGGTTTCCAAGAACCTGCCTGTCATTTCTGCCTGAGATCTCACCAGAGACCAATGACGTCCGTATTTCCACCGACGTTCTGTTCCTGACTATTTATGTTTTGCTAAGAGGTGGAGGGCTTCTCTCCAGGCCCCCTGGGCCCTCTGGGCTTCTCGCCTGCACCACAGACTCCTGCTTCTCTCCAACAGATTCCCAGCTCTAAAGCCAAGTCTCTATTTTTAGGCATTAGACATAAGCAGTGCTCCACCTCTTAAAACTAAAAAAAATAGATATTCATGCAAAACTGAAGGCTGAGACAGGGCTGATCGTGAGGTCTGAGAATCGGAAGAGTAGAGACCCAAGAAGAGCCGATGTTTCCGTTTGAGTCCAAAGGCAGGAAAAGACCAAGGCACTTGAGCAAGGTAGTCAGGCGCAAGTTCCCTTTTGTTCTGTTCAGGACTTCACCTGCTTGGGTGAGGCCCACCCACGGCAGGGAGGACAATCTGCTTTACTCCATCTACTGGTTTAAATAATAATCCTGTCCAGAAATATCCCACAGACGGTCCCAGAATCATGCTGGATCCGCCATCTGGGCACGCCCTGACCCAGCAACTCAGCACACAACATTGACCTTCACAGAAAACACCATCACCACATTCGAAAGCTCAGTGAATGAGCACATCGGCAGGATGACAAGGCGGAAAAAACGGTCAAAGCTAGAACATAAAAATCGCATAATCTGAGAAACAGAGAGAAAATGAAAAGAGCCTCTGTACTTATGGAAACGGAACAAGAGATCTAACCTTCACGTCACTGAAGTCAGGAAAGGAGAGGAGAAAAAGGATGCAGGAGGAAAGGTATTCAAAACATGACGGATCAAAATTCCTGAATTTGGCAGACACATGAACTCAAGAGTCTGGGGGAATCCAAACAGGGGCTGCCATCCGGAGGGGACAACTCAGGAGACGGGGAGCTTGCTCCAGGGGCTGCTCACACCCCTCTTCAGGGCACAGACACTGCCCCAAGGACAGAGGCGCCCCAGCCCCGTCCACCTCCGCGAGCGGACTGGGCTTCTACGGGGCCCCTTGGCATGGGGAACCCCGATTCTCCGGAATGAATGCAGTCACACCCGTGTGAAAACAACTTACAGCTGCCAAATTTCAGGGGGCAAGCGTGGGCGTCCATGGGGAAGTCCTCGAGTTGCATTGGACACTCTGCAGAGATAGTCAAGCTGAAAAACAAGAGAGGAAGACCTTTCAGTGACCCTGCACCTCTGCCTGCTTATCAAGCAACCGCTGTGCTCCACAAAGCCACAGGAGGTGGCTCACCCACTACTCTAATTGCCATGTTGTTTTTTATCCTCACCCAAGGACATTTTTCCATTTTTTTTATTCTGATAGCGCGGGAGGGAGAGAGAGAAAGAGACAAAGAGAGAAACATCGATGTGAAAGGGACACATCGAGTGGCTGCCACCCGCACGACCAACCAGGGCCGGGGACAAACTGCAACCGAGGTACATGCCCTTAGCGGGAACCGAACCCGGGTCTCTCTGGTCCGCAGGCTGATGCTTTAACCGCTGAGCCAAACTGCCCAGGGCTAATTGCCATGTTTGTTGTCTGGACTGTTCTACCACATTATATAGGGTTGCTCTGCTGATGAGTAGCCACTAGAAGCACGGCTCGCTCTGGCTCAGTGGGTTGAGTGTTGTCCCATGCACTGGAAGTCGCGGGTTCGATTCCCAGTCAGGGCACATGCCCAGGTTGTGGGCTGACCCCTGGCTGAGGCATACGGGAGGCAAGCAATCGATGTTTCTCTCTCACATTGATGTTTCTGTCTCTCTCCCTCTCCCTCCCTATCTCTCTAAAACCAATTTTAAAAAGAAATAAGACTTCAGTCACATCCTCTCAAATTCTGCGCCCCGGCGTGCATGTCTGTGCATATATTACCACTTGTAAAGCAGTCTGAGATGCCTTTCAAAGTAATTTATTCTTTGTTTCCCACCCCTTACCGAGTCATTAAAAAAAAAAAAAAAAAGTTCCCTGGCAAGGCTGAAAAGATACGTATTTTCTAAAACAGATGATAAGCTCAAAACCGGTAAACATGGACTCACTGCACAGACTGCATTTGGACCGAAGTCGGCTACCATTGTGTCAACAAACTGTAAAGATGAGATTCTGTTACGATGGTAGTCTTCCATACAATCTAATTATTGTTTTTAATCCGAGCCCGGGCTTTTAATCGCACCATGCACTACCACCATCCCCAGTGATTATAGCAGCAATCAATGCTCCTAATAACGGCCGTGTCCACCCAGACACAGGCTTGAGTGCGGCCCCAGCATTAACGCATCTGATCAAATAGCACCATGGCAGCTGTTGCTTCGAACGTCTCAGCGGACAAGGGGAGAAAGATGCTCAGATATTAAGGGATCGGGGCAAGAATGCAGAATTATTCATCAAGTCCTGGAGCTGTGGCTGGAGCCCAGGCTGCCTGGCCCCTTCCCTGGTAGCAGGTGCGCCGCCTGCCGGTGGTCTCGGGCTCGGTATGAGAGTTGCTACGTTCTGGTGCTTTGATTTCCCTACAGATTCTTCTAATTAGGTAGTGATTCTAAGTTTCCTTAATGAGATAATCTTCTGTTTCTTATCCCATTATTTAAAACAAAATCAAATTATATCAAATCAAATCAAATTAGAAAGTGTTCACCTTTAAACAGATAATTTAATTTTTAGATGAATAATGATTCAATGGGATAACTGCACTCTTGTCCCTGAGTCTGGATATGGCCTCTGTGCCTGGATTTCTTTTTGTCCAGATATTTTCTACACGTACATATATTTTCTTTTTGTTTGTGGTATATAACACTCAGTCTTTTGTATACCTAATATTGGAGCAGGGGTATTTCCCACATTGAAATAGCTACAATAACTATCCGTTTGAACAGTGAAATATTTAATTCTAGCCCTGGCCAGTTTGGCTCAGTGGTCAGACCGTCAGCCTGCGGACTAGAGACTCTCGAGTTCTATTCCGGTCAGGGCCTCAGTTGTGGTTCGATTCCCGGCCCTGGTCAGGGTCATGCAGGAGGCAACCAGTTGATGTGTCTCTTTGATGTTGATGTTTCTCTCTCTCCCTCTCCCACTCTATTTGAAGATAAATGGAAAAATTGCCTTGGGTGGAAATTTAAAAAATAATCAGAAGAAGAAGAAGAAGTATTTAATTCGAGCTTGTACAGGTGTCTAATATATGCATGTGTATGTAGGCACGTGTATATATTAAACCAATCAGCTGTTGACTTTTAGATTATTTTACATGATAAATAATCCTCAGTGCACTTCTTCAAGCACGAACAATGTAAAAGAACTATTATTAGAGGTGGTAAAATGGGTAAGATAAATGAAGATTTACTTGTTAGAATTAAGAAAATTTGGACTTAAAGACAGCCAGCAGGGAGGGCATCCACTCAGCACGGAAAACAAGCCCCAGAGCTGTGTCTGTTGACAGGAAAGGTTTCAGTGTATTTAAGTTATAAAAGCTACATACAGAACAATGTCCAGAGTACGAGGCCGCTCAGTAACTACAGGAGAGCTTGTGTGAACACACAGACACACACACGTGTACAGTACACGTGTGTGCCCACACAGACACCTGCAGCGGTGCACACATACCATTAGTGCCCATTCTCTGTGGTCTGGTATGATAACTGTATCCCACACCCGGTGTGACACATTTTTAAAAAACATGTTGATCCTTGTCATTAAAATAAATATTATCTTTTAAATGGCAAGATGTAGCCACTGTGTCTGTTGGTGCCTGTTTTTAACTGGACACTGGTGTGTGTATGTCTGGCAATAAACATAGATAGAGATATAGATGCTGTTGTGTGTCTATACTCACATACACATACCAGTGCTTCAAAACTTTTAGTTACAGATGTATAGACATATAGTTTGTTTCAAATATATTACCCAGGAACCAAACATGTATAACATACATATAATTTCCTTCAAGTAGGGAACTGATTACATTGTGTACCTGTGCAGAGCTATAAATGTATTCTATACTGTGCCTGGATGGTGTCAGCCAATTACTGCGCACAAATGGGCCTGTGCTGCCCTCCAGCGGCCATTCAAGGAATACGCTCTGAACATGCGAACCGGTCCAAGACCCCGCAGCTATACTGCGCTGGGAGAAATCCAAACACCACCACGACAGAAACCACCACCAAACGTAGCTCTAAGGAATTCAAGTAAAGATGACCAAGGACTCCCGACGACCAAACGACAGAGTCTGGTCTTGCACTGAGTCCATGCAAAGCAGTCTATTCCACTAATGCTGAAAGTCTGAATGGCATGCGAGCCATCACCCAACCGGCCTGTCTCCAAATAATGGTGGCGCAGGGGACAGTGCAAAGCGCGCAGTGCCCGGTGTGGCTCTTTCTTCCTGTGGTGCTTTGCTGCCCAGGGGACTCGCTCTTCTGCTCAAAGACCAGGGGGAAGCGCCCTCTGGTGGCCCTCACAGTGCATTGACGCGAGTTGCATCTTCAAAGGGTGTGGAGGAAAGGACGAGCTGGTCACTACCTCCAAGCTCCCCTGCTCACAAAGAAAAACGTATCATCCTATCTGGCATGACCCCCGAGACTCGTGGTCACCCTCTACTGCGCGGGTTTATCGGGAAGAGGTGCTGAAACTGCTACACGACCATGACCAAAAGTTCTAGGCAGAAAATTGGCGAGGCTGGCCTGGCCGACGGTCATTCCATCCCCACGTGGACCGAAGTCACGGTTCTGGGTTCTGCACCCCTTCCCTGTCCAGATGCTGCTTGCCATGTGACTCCTCCTAGCACCAATAATCACCTCGTCGCTCAATCAATAGATAAAATGCTGGCAAACTAGAGCTATACGTCTATCCCATTAAAATTCATAACACTTTCAAGTGGAACCGTCTCCACTCTGCCAAAGTTGTATATGACTGAAAAAGAAAACTCAGTATCGACTGTGCCTTCCATTAGCATATTTCCTTGGCACCAACAAGGAAACTTTTGCTGACAAATTGCCCTGGTCCCCATCTTCCTCCTGGTCTGGCACTTTGACAGGGTAAGAAGGCCATTACATGTCTCATAACACTGTATCCTGGCGGTTTTCCAATGTGGTGGACGAAACAAGGAAATTGCTCAGACCTGAGTTCAAATTCCTGCTGCCCCCTCTCTAGCTGTGTGACCTTGGCCTGATCACCAAACATCTCTGAGCCTCGCGCTCTGTTGGTTACAGCAGTGGCGTCACCTCGCTGGCCGGGCTGTCTAAGGACTGCAGGACTCTGTGAAGTTGCCTGGTACAGAGACACTGAGTTACAGGCTCCCTTGAGGCCCTTTCCCGTCTGAACAACAGCCCTGCCTTACCACCCTGCCCAAGCAGCCATGGATCAAAAAAAAGCATCCCATTGTCTTATGTATGGACACAACCACAGTCCCTCAGTGACAGGAACCAAGTGTGAAGACAAGGAGACTGCAGTCTTTTAAATGTTTTTATTGAGTTTAGAGAGAGAGGGAGGGAGAGAGAGAGAAATATCGATGAGAGAGAAACATCGATGGGCCGCCTCCTGCATGCCCCCCACTGAGGATTTGGACCACAACCTGGGCATGTGCCCTGACCGGGAATCGAACCAGGACCTCTTGGTGCATGGGTCCACGCTCAACCACTGTGCCACACCAGCAGTGTGGGGCTGTATTCTATGGACAGAACACAGGGGCACGGCAGGCCCACATCATGCCCCCAGGATAATGGGGTCCAATCGTCCATCCCACCTCTGCATGAACCCCTCAGCATCCTCCAAGACCTGGGCTTGTCTCCACACTTGCCCCCCGCTCACAGGCTGAACAAAGTGCATTCAGAGTCACTGCACAGAATGACGACCAAGGACTCGTATTCAATCCTTGTGGTATTTCTTGGCTTTCCAACATAATTCTCTGCACGGAGAAGATACGATCCCAGCCCTGATGGCACATTCACAACTCACACCTACGCCCATGGGCGAAACACGTTCAAGATCAACGGAGGGAGAGTGTGAAGTGGAACCAAGGGCCCAGGGGGTGTTACAGGCTCATTTATCAGGATCTTTATTGGGTTGTTATAAGAAAAATCGAGCCCTGGCCGGTTTGGCTCAGTGGTTGGAGCGTCAGCCTGCGGTCCTGAGAGACCCGGGTTCGGTTCCCGCTAAGGGCATGTACTTCGGTTGCAGTTTGTCCCCGGCCCTGGTTGGGTTGTGTGGGTGGCAACCACTCGGCGTGTCCCTTTCACGTGGATGTTTCTCTCTCTCTGTCTTTCTCTCTCTCTCTCCCTCCCACTCTATCTGAACAAAAAATGTCCTCGGGTGAGGATAAAAAAAAAAAAAGAAAGAAAAATCTGCCGTCAAACAGGTTCGGGACAGGTGTCAACGTGTCCTCAAAACATACGTGAGGACACAGTCTCTGAGGACAGCAGGTCCTTCTAAATATATAATGTATTGGGAGGAATTCTAAGGCAGAGAGAGAAATTCCAATCACATCAACGCAAATGTATGGGCTTAAAAAAAAAAAAAAAAAAAAAAAACTTGGCTTTAGCGCTTTTTGAATTTTTTAATTTAAAAATCTTTTTGATGTTGGCTTAGGGCCACCATGGAAACTGAAAAGCTATAATGGAGCCTTTCTCGCTGGTCAATTTATTGATTTACTCAGATGCAGTGAGTAAAAAAGTGACTAATGGTCAATATAAATTAGAAATATTAAAATTTAACCTCAGCATTGGAATGCTATCAAAGTCTATGAGAAAGGGACTTACAAACTTAGAAAGGCATACACCACTGAGACAGAAAGGGGTTCTCTTTGGATTTTTTTTTTTTTTTTTTAATCCTCGCCCGAGGATATTTTTCCATTTTTTGTACAGATAGAGTGGGAGGGAGAGAGAGGAAGGGAGAGAGAGAGAGAAACATCGACGTGAAGGGACACATTGAGTGGCTGCCACCCGCACGACCATCCAGGGCCGGGGACAAACTGCAACCGAAGTACGTGCCCTTAGCGGGAACCGAACCCGGGTCTCTCCGGACCGCAGGCCGACGCTCTAACCGCTGAGCCAAACTGGCCAGGGCTGGATCTTTTTAAATAACATTTTTATGACATAAATGTTCCCTGACTCGCATGATCTGGGTAGTATTCGCTCTGGATCTTGAACCAAAGAAACAAGTATAGATGACAGATACTAGGAACCCGAGTAGCCAATGGAAATAATTTACATAAACGTTAGCATGGGCCAGTCACAGGATAAAAAAACCCCAACACACACTCACACAGACACACACAGTCTCTCTCTCACACACACACATATTCATACACACACACACTCAGACACACACACAAACACACACACCTGCACTCACACACAAACACACTCACACAAACTCACGTACACTCACATACATGCACATTCATAGAAACACACTCACACACATGCACACACAAACACACACAAAATCATGTACATACACACTCATAGACACACACAAACTCACATACACTCACACACATGCACACTCATACACACACAAACTCACGTACACACATGCACATTCACAGACACACACATGCACTCACACACAAACACACACACAAACACGTACACTCACACACATGCACACTCATAGACACACACAAACTCACGTGCACTCACACACATGCACACTCAGACACACACACTCTTGTACTCACACACATGCACACTCATAGACACACACGCACTCACACACGTGCACACACATACACTCACACATGCACACTCATAGACACATACAAACACACATATACTCACACACACACAAACCAATTCTTAAACCCATTAGGCTGCAGGGTCCTTGGGCAGAGCTAGGGGTTGTGTCTGTACCCCTACCCCCAAAACCCCCTACAGCCCTCAAAATTATGACACCCCAGCCCTGCAACTGACCTCTGTGATGTCCTCCGCCCTCCCCCAACCCCACTACCCAATCCCTGCACTGTATACCTGCCCACACTGCACCTCACAGTCCACCTTGAGATGTCACCAGCCCCACCCCACTACCCACCCCCTGTGCCCCACAGGCCCCCTGGAGATGTGACCCGCACAGCACCCCCTGGAGATGTGATCCTCCCAACACTGTACCCACAGCGCCCCCTGGAGATGTGAGCCTCCCAGCACTGTACCCCACAGCACCCCCTGGAGATGTGAATCCCCCAGCAATGCAACCCAGTACGCTCACCCCACAATGCCCCTGCCCCCACCCCGAGCTGGCCGCACAGACCCCCACCCCCCACCCCGAGCTAGCCGCACAGCCCCCCCCACCGCAAGGTGTAGAGCAGCGTGCCCCGCCCCGCCCTCGCCCCGCCCACCGCATGGTGTAGAGCAGCGTGCCCCGCCCTCGCCCTCGCCCCGCCCACCGCATGGTGTAGAGCAGCGTGCCCCGCCCACCGCATGGTGTAGAGCAGCGTGCCCCGCCCCGCCCCGCCCCCCGCATGGTGTAGAGCAGCGTGCCCCGCCCCGCCCCGCCCCGCCCACCGCATGGTGTAGAGCAGCGTGCCCCGCCCCGCCCCGCCCCGCCCCGCCCACCGCATGGTGTAGAGCAGCGTGCCGTCGTCCTCCAGCCGCAGCAGCTTGTTGGGCGTGGTCATGTTGTGCGCGATGGACTTCTTGCCGTTGTGGAAGAACGTGTCCGGCGTCCAGATCTTGCTGGCCAGCAGGTTGTTGAGCGGGAGGCGCTGCATGGGCCCCTTGAAGCGCAGCCGCTCGTCCTTCCAGCTTTGTCGGAAAAACACGTCGATGGTGTATTCCTAGCGCAAGGGAGGCAGCCAGGTGAGCGGCCGCAGGGGCGCCCCTCCCAGGCCTCGGCGTTTGTCCCCAGGGCGCGGCCGGGCGAGCCGGGACCTACCATCTCCGTGTCCGACACGGGCCCGAAGCTGGTGACGTAGATGTCCGTCCTCACCTGGGTGATTCGCTCTGAAACAGACACAGGTTTCGGCCTGGGCCCCGCGCTGCCCGAGTCCCCACCTCGGTACTTCCGCCCTTGGCACCCGACGGCTTCCGGACTGCGTTTGTTAAATTCGGAGCGCTGGGCCAACACTGAATGAAACCACGCGGCCCCAACTGTGACATGAAATAGGTGCCCACCAGGCCAAGGAGAGGACACGGGAGTCCGGAGAGGACTGAGGGGTGTCTGGGTCCCAGCCGTGGGATCTGGGTGCTTTCCGTCACACCTGAGCCTCAGTTTCTTCCCCGGGTTGCCTGGAACATACTCCCAACCGCAGGACACATCACCTGCTCTCCCACAACCGAAAGGTAGACAGTTGAGGATGTGGGGAGCAGACTGGGAGGAATCTCCAGTCAAAACTGCACCCCCAAGCGCTGTCCCAAGAACGATGTCTGAGAAATGTCCACAGTGTAGCCCAGACTGGAAATGGCCTGTTTGGCTCAGCAGTTACAGCCTGAGGACTGAAGGGTCTCGGGTTCAGTTCCCGGTCAAAGGCACATGCCTGGGTTGCAGGTTTGATCCCTGGCCCCGGTTGGAGCCGTGCAGGAGGCAACCAATTGAGGTGTCTCTCTCACATCGATGTTTCTCTCTCTCCACCCACTCCTTCCACTCTCTCTAAAAAGCAATGGAAAAATATCCTCGGGTTAAGATTCCAAAAAAAAATTGCCACCTCCTATGGAATTTTGAATTGTTAGAAATTTCTATCATGGGAAATTACTATTTCAATTAAAATTATGGAAAATAACAAAGCCATAAAAACAGCTAATAAGAGTGGAGGAAAATGACTGGTTCCCTGTGCACACGGGAGCCCTGTCACCCCATGGCCATGAGTGGGAACCACATCCCAAGTACACGACAGCTCAGCACGAATGACCCCAGCAGCCGGATGGATCACCACGGAGTCGGAGCTCGGAGGGCTTGTGAGACTCATATATGTACATGGTGTGTATTTGTATGTGCACACGTGTTTGCACGATGCTGTGTTTTCAGTGCCTGTGTCCCCTGGAGGTGCCAGCCCTAACAGACCACCCTTTGGCTCTGGTGTCCTCAGGGTCTCGCGTTGCAGGACTGTGACCCATCCTGGGCGAAGGACACAGTGTGACCGGCCAGGATCTCGATGCATCCCTAGCGCTTTGATCCCTGTGGGTGTGGTCAAAGGGGTGGGCTGCTGGGCATAGAGGCCCAGGGACATAACTCAGAGGGTTCTAAGGGCCCATGTGGACTTTAAAAACGCAGAGAATGCAAGAACTAAAAATGGAGAAAAACTTTTTCCTCTGAGCATGTAGTTGCTGGGGTGGGGTGGGTGGGAGTCTCTCTAACTTGATCTAGGGAAGGAAGCTTGCAGGGACCAGTTCTCCCAGCTTGTTGCATCTTGAAAATGATAATAAAGGACGCAGGAGCCTTGGCAACCACCATCAATTTGAGCTCCTGGCAGGGAAGCCCTGAGGGGCTGTTTGCATCGCAGCCAGAGAGGGCGCTCACCTCCGAGCCCCGGCCGCAGCCTGTTGTCGTAGCCGTCCAGCAGCCCGTCCAGGATCCTGGTGAAGATGGTGATGTTGTCATCTTTCCCTGAACCGGTTGGCATTTGTGAAAAGCTTTGAACAGAGAAACAAAAGAGTTCAACTCGTATTAATTATTTCTTGTAAATTCTTCCCAAGGTAAGGAATCAGGGAACAATAGGGTGGGCTGTCTTGGAGGGAGGGAGAGAATGATCTCCTCTTCCAATGAGGGAACTGTTTTGCAGAGATCAGCCTTAATTCTTGAGCACATAGAGAGTGCTGGCTTGGGGCTGCTCATCCATCAGCCTAACGTGATGGCCCCAATCCGTCCCTCCCTGAGTCAGAAAAACTGAGTCATCAAATTGTTCATGGGGGTGTGGAGGGGACCTTTAAAGACTTTGTGAGTTGAAAGGTAAGACTGGTGTGCTCAAATATCACCGCCTCTCCTCCTAGGAGCACCCACGCTGTGAGCATTATGCCTGGACTAGAGCAAAGGGGGACAGAATCATTGGGGTGTGTGCAGGCCCCTGGGCTCCCGCACCCACCGCACCACTAGTTGCATGTTCAGCTCACACCACAGCATGTGGCCCAGAGGAAGCCCAGTCTCAAAACTCTGACTGGGTTTTACTCCCCACCACCTTCCATCAGAGACTTGAAGGCACAGTGTTCTGTGTAGCCCAAGGGGGTGGACCTATGATGAAACCTCAACAACAGTGGGCCGAACCTTCCAAAAACAAGGACAGTCTTGCTTGTTCAATTCCATCAGGTGAGGCCCCAAGGGAGGGGGTGAAAAGGTGCCCTGAGCAGATCTGGACACTCTGAGGATGTGCCTTGGAAAGAAAGGAAGTCACATTCAAAAGCTTCTGCACAGCAAAAGATACAATCATCAAAATGAAAAGGCAACCCACTGTATGGGAGAGCATCATTGCCAATGATAGATAAGGGGTTAATTTCCAATATATATATAGAGTGCTCATACGACTCAACAAAAGGAAGACAAAGAACCCAATTAAAAAATGGGCAGAGGAACTAAATAGACACCTCTCCAAACAGGGCATACAAATGGCTAAGAGACATATGAAGAAATGTTCAACATCACTAATCATCAGAGAGATGCAAATTAAAACAACAATGAGGTATCACCTCACACCTGTCAGAATGGCTGCCATCAACAAATCATCAAACAATAAATGTTGATGAGTGTGTGGAGAAAAGGGGACTCTAGTACACTGCTGGTGGGAATGCAGACTAGTGCAGCCACTATGGAAAACAATATGGTGTTACCTCAAAAAATTAAAAATGGGACTGCCATTCGACCCAGTGATCCCACTTCTAGGAATATACCCTAAGAAGCCTGAAACACCAATCAGAAAGAATATATGTACCCCGATGTCCATAGCAGCACTATTTACAATAGCTAAGATCTGGAAACAGCTCAAATGTCCATCAGTAGATGAACGGATAAAAAAGCAGTGGTACATACACACAATGGAGTACTATGCAGCTGTAAGAAAGAAAGATCTCTTATCCTTTGAGATGACATGGAGGGGCCTGGAGAGTATTATCCTAAGCGAAACAAGACAAGCAGAGAAAGACTAATATCACATGATCTCACTTATTTGTGGAATATAATGAACATAACAGTCTGAGGAACAGGGTAGTCCCAGAGAGGTGGATGTGGGGTACAGACTGACAATCCCCAAAAGAGGGGGTGGAGAGATAAACCACAGAACTTACATGCATGTATGTATGAACAATGGACATGGACAGCAAAGCTGGGGACAGGGTGGGGAGGGAGGGGGAGGGGGAATCAGTGAGGGACAAAGGAGAAACATCTGTAACAAAAATAAATTAATTAATTTAAAAATAAATAAATAAAATAATACCTAAAAGAAAAAAAAGAAAGAAAGGAGGTCACGGCTTGGAGGACGGCACCCCCACGGGCCCCACCACAGCCCCACAGCTGCTCTTGGCTTGCGAGCAGCAAGACGTCAGGTCATCGAGAGCTTGATGGACACGCTGGGCTTGACGTCGAGGGGAACCCACCCAGCTCAAAGCCCCTGTGGATCCCAAGGAGTTGGGGGCCTTGGCTGCAGGAAGAAGAGCTGCTAAAGCCTAGAACCTCCCTAAAGGGCTGGCTGGGGGGCGGCTCTGTGTACCCGACTTTCTCTCATGAGTTGGCTGAGAGCTGAAAGAGAGCATCAGGGATGGATACTGGGGGCAGACGTGATGTGTGCCTGCTCCTCCCAGTTCTTGGAAATGGGTCTTCATTGATCACATCCTTCACCCTGGACGAGCCCGCTCCCCACTCAGCAGCCGGGCCGAGCATTAGCTTCTTGGTTGCATTACTGTCACACCTCAGTTGGCTCGTATTTAACTTCTACTTAAAACCACTCAATGGCCATTATTCTGTTGACCTACAAAATAACGGTCAACTGCTCTTCCGGACACAACGTCGGGTGGCCGACAAGGTCCTTCGTGATCTGCCCCTCCCTGCTCCCCATCACCCTTGACTGCGCCTATCAGCCTCTGTGCCTCACGCTGGCCTCCAGTTGCCCCTCACGCCAGGCCTGGCCTGTCCCCTGCTCGGTCTCCTCGTCGTCACCTCCCTGACATTGCTGGCGCCGCTCCAGCTCCTCCCCGGCTCCTCCTCTGACTCACTCTCCAGCAATCGCTGGGACCCCACGGATGCATGTCCAGGGCGCCTCTCCGAGATCCTGCCACGGCGCAAGCACGGGTGCAGCAGCAGCGTCCCCCACGACACCCACACCCTGGCCCCCAGAGCCTGTGACTGGGACTGTGGTGCAGGACACAGCAGGGGAGACCCCACGGAGAGGATGAGCATGGACTGTGCGGTGCTCACCCTCTAGGTGGTGCCCCTGGGCCACGCCCAGCAGCAGTGCCGGCTCACCCCCGGTCCAGTAGCGACACCGGGACGGCTGGCCTGCTCAGCGCCCTGCCCCCCGCCTCGATTCAGCGTTCCCTGTGCATTCAGCAGTTTACCCCTGACACAGCCTGTGACGTGGGGTCTGTAATTAACTCACTGGGAGACTTGGAAACCAAGTTACAGGCAGGTTAAGTCATTCTTTTGATGCCACCCAGACAGAGCAGCAGAGGGGACGGGAGCAGCCTCATGGCCCTCTGTCCGCACAACAGCGAGCACCAGGGCTCCTGAGACAGAACCGCGTCACCCGTAGGGGGATGGCCCATTTTTTTTGTTGCTGTTAAGATGGAAAATAAAGTGATCCTGCGTTTCATTTGTTATTAGGCTTGCCTTTTCATTCTGAAATACACTGTTAAATAAATATAAATAAAACAGTTTTCAATGAGCTGCAAAGGCCTAGCTCCCCCTTTGCTATCACACGACCCCTGGGCTGTTACATTGGATAGCACGGCGCATGCTGGGTGTGTGATTTCGTTCCGGCTGCGGCAGTGGTCCATCTTCAGAGGAGCCTTGGTTGAGTTAGATTAGGACACTGTCTTGTTTCCAATAGCCAAGTTTTCCTCCATGTCCCTTCTCCCTGACCCTTCACTATCAGAACAATGGACAGCTCTGGCCTGGACCCCATCCAGCCGCTGCGATCCGCGGATCTCTGCACCTACAGAGGGAGGGTTTGGTGGAAACTGAACCATGGTTCTTTGAAAATGCGTTCAGGAAGTGCAGGCGACCCAACCACGTCGACATGCATGATTGCCGTTCTGCCATCAGAGTTCCAGGATAACGTTTCTTCGCACTTCTAATTCTAATAATTTTCCTCTGAAATCTCACACTAATTAGAATATGCATGTTACGTAATTGCACCTTGTAAAAATCCAAAAGCCCACATTCTTTTTTCTCCCCTTGAACCACGCCAGTGACTCATCCCGGAGCTGACTGCCAGCAGGGTCGGCCGGTCCATGCTGGCCTCTTACCCCAAGCCTTGCTCAACTCGCCGCCTGTTGGAATGATGAACGTGCTAAAAGTTTCATTCATAATGCACATAATTTGGAAATGTTTTCTTGGGGCACCTTTAAAAAATGCTGGGCATTATTTTACTCTGCACCCACCTCTCTGATCTCTGGCCGTCCCCCAGCCCCTGCAGCACGCCCACCTGACTGCTCTGGCGGCTCTGCCACGTGTGTTTATAATCATTGTGGTGGCCATTCGTCCTGCGCCTCGTGGACCTGCAGCCGGCTGTCTGGGGACTGCCAGTGACAACAGGCCATGTGACAAGCCCCTGTGAATACTGAGTACCTGAGTGTTTCAGAGAGAACATACTTTCTGCTCCAGTAAAAGGAACTGCACCATCCTGGTCGGTGGCTCAGTTGGTTGGAGCATCGCCAAAAGGTTTCAGGTTCAGTTCCTGGTCAGGGGCACGTACCTAGGATACAGGTTCGATCCCCAGTCGGGTGCATCTGGGAGGCAACTGATTCATGTTTCTCTCTCACATTAATGTTTCTCTCTCTCCCTCAAATCAATCAAAACATATCCTCAGGTGAGGATTAAAGAAAAAAAGCGTTGTCCTTGAGATCGTGTAGAAAGCAGCTCTCTTCATGGAGACAGATGAAGAAGAATCTTCTCGGTTCCTGTTCATACGTCTCTTCTACAAGAATCTGCTTTCACATGCCAATCACATGATTTCACTCGTGCGTGAGGCATACAACTAAAAGCAGCAAATGAACAAATAAGACAAACAACTCGCAGACACAGACAGCGTGGTGGTTGCCAGAGGGGAGCGGGTAGCAGGTAGTGAAAGGTAGAGGAAGTCCAATGGTGACGGGACAGCTGACTTCGGGTGGTGGGCACACAATGCAACACACAGAGGATGTATCAGAATTGTACACCTGAAACCTGTATCATCTTATTAACCAGTATCACTCCAATAAATGCAATAAAAAAATAAAAACAAAACAAACATTTTGTTTTCCAAAGCGTCTCTGAATTACAGTTCCCATGTAGTAAAGTTCTGCCAATGCACTTTTTCCCTAATAGATAAACCTCTAAGTTTCACACAATTAAGTGAATTAAATCAGATTCTACCTTATTAATGAGTTGATAATTCTTAAATTTATCTTACAATCGCCACTGGGCTGATTGAGCCTCATAAAGTGTGATTTTTCAAATGATGATAAATCAATTCCTATTTAAATGTCATGTTATGTATTTTGAAATTATCTTGATTCAAAGAGGGTTTCTGTGCTGGTTTTTCTGTACCATGTGCTTTTGATTACTGGTCTCATTAAACTAATTATAATGCCCCAAATAATATCATACACATATCAAAAGGTGGCATCACATCGGCTGAATGTCCCATACGGTCGCTGTTCCATTATACATGTGACTCATTAAATAGCTGAAAATGAATGGAAGAATTATAAAAGCTATTGTAAATGAGCTGGTGAGCACGCTGATCGAATTGGGAAAATGTGTGGTAAAAGAAACAATACTCATATACATTCAAAGCAACTTCTCATGAATTAATCGTCTGTAGTCACTAAGTATGTTCTACTGGTCATACATTAACATTGTTACATTTTCTGATAGTCAAGTCCACATGCTCCTCACAGACACTACGTGCAACATTGTCCATGCTGCTTGTGACTGGTTTTCTGGGACCCTCCTCACCCTCCACCTAATGTCTGGCTGGTGATCTTCCCCAGTTAGCAGTGCAGCACCGCCCCTTCCCCGAGGGTAAGGCCCAGCTAATAAGGTTCCTCCTAGGACGCACCTAAAACAGGGAGTTTACCCACAGTGCTCCATGTTGCCACAGCTATTAGTCTGCCAAGACTTTAAGTCAAATAAAGTGCTGTGAAACTTTGCAATTTAACAAAAACGATTCTCAAGCACATTTTGAGTAATAAGCAAGCGAGAGAGAGGAGCCTTGTATAAAACAAGAAATCAATAGGGACTTTTGCTCCCAGATGTCTTTTCTGGCTGCTGAAGAGCACCCCCTGCCGGTCAGATATGTGAAACCCAGCTTCCTGCTTTGCTAGACACCCCTCTTCGTCAAGACCTGGACACACAGGGTCAAGAGTTAAAAACACTCAGAGAACGTGAAGTGAAATTCCACTTAAAAGAATATATTCTAATAGAAATGCTCTCAAATACTTAAAATGGTCATAAGCCAAAAATGTTCACTGTAGGAAAAAATTAACAATCTAATGAGAAACAATGTAAACACCCCAAATTCAGGAAATAACTGATGAGTAAGCACAGAATGCCCTTTGATAATGGACATCCAGCCCTGGATGGTGTTGCTCAGTGGTTAGAGCATTGACCCCACCACCCAAGGGTCATGGGTTCAGTTCCTGGTCAAGGGCATGTACCTGGGTTGCAGGTTCAATACTTAAATAATAATGGTCTTTTAAACCATATATTTTAAGGAGTTTGTAACACCAAAGTATTAGGCATGACAAAAGCACAGAACAAAACTGAAGGTAAGGCATGCTGGCAACTGCACAAAAATATGCGTAGAGGCAAGGGAGAGAGACACTGAGCATGAGAACTGTTTCTGGGTGGTGGAATTAAGGATATTTTCCTTTTTATATACTGTTCTGTGTCATATATTTATACACACACACATACACACACACACATATACATACACACACACATACACACACACACATATATACATGTACACACACATACATACACACACATACATACATATTTCAGTTTCAGGATGGACTGTTAGTCCTAACAGTCCATTCTCTAGGGAAATTGAAGGACAGTGTCCCACTGTTCAGTGTTAGCTTTCAGAAACTAACACTTATCCCCCCATTGAGAAGATGACCTCAGGAAGCCACCAAATTAAATAAGGAGTAAAGTATTGTTGCTTCTAATGGCTAAATGCATAGGCACATCACTTCACATTCCAGACTTGCATCGACCAGGGAGAATAATAACGTAATGGCTACACAATGCAAATTCACAATAATCTGCTTGACCCCATCTTAAAAACGAAACACCTTTCCTAATCCTAGCGTATCCTTTGCCTCTGAAACAGTGTGAAACAGATGCAGTATATCAGTAAACAAGCTAACGACCTGATGTGTCTACTTGGAGATCTGAATGTTGCGTGGGATTTCACGCACATCCACGCTTTTCATTGAGGAGCATGAGGACACCATGGTGTGTAGTGTTTAACAGCCAGGAGAGACCTAGGAAAAGACAACTTTCATTCAACAGATAAGGAACCGAAGGCTCAGAAGGGAGGTGTCCATTCAGGACCAGCAGTAAGGCAAGAACAGCAACTGATCTCTATCCCATGAAGACACTCCGAGGGCCAGCAGGGCTGCATCCGAGAGGGGTAGACACGCTCCTGGCCATCCTGACACACAATCCCAGTGCCATCATTTACCAGCCTTAGCACCTGGGGACAGTCACAGCCTCTTTCTTTCTGCGTTTCCCCCTCTGTGCAGACCTAGAAAGGTCCGAAGAGCAGAAAACATCCAGAGGACAAACAGAGGATGTCATGGACCTGGGAGGGCCCCCCTTCCTGACTGGATAGCAGGTGTCTCTACAGGCTGTCACTCAGCCACCGTATTCTTGAGAGCCCTCATGACTTACACAAGGGCACTGTGCAACCTCTGGCGTCAGAGGTTCTAGAGAGAGCACCTGCCAGATTTCTCCAGAAATTTAATTTATAATTAGACTCCCATCAATTTCAATTACCATGCTGTTGATTGGCCAGACGATTTGGGGGAGCACAGGGGGACAGTAAGAATGTTTATCTGGAATGCCAGTTATCACTAGATGAAAAGAGACGAGCATCAGAACACAGGCACCAAAGGCTGAGATGAAAGAACTTAGAAGAATGGGCGATGCTCGCGGCCCAGGCTTGTCTTACACATCACCAGACACGTGGACTTTCTGCTGCTCGGCACCAGCATTCAGACGGTCACAGCTCAAGGCCAGGAGCACCGCCAGTCCTTCTCATTGCCAAACAGCGTGGGCTTGGCCGTACAGGCAAGTTGTTTTGCATAATGGAAGGGCGGGGCACCAAAATGTCGAGAGGAGTCTAACAAGCAATGGCTGTCTTTCATGCACACGAACCTCTGAGTCTCGTTTTAACTGAGTGGGAAAGCAGCTGACTCCAAAACCATCTTCCATGTCTGCCAACGAAACCTGAGCGTTTCTCTCAAACGTGGCGCAAACAGCCTCGCTCTGGAAGGAAGCGTGGGGCAGGGCAAGGACTCTCGTTTATCTACCACACACCGAAGGGCATGGGTCCACAAAGGTGGCAAGGACACATGCTCAGCCACGCTTCTGGAAGGCACGTGGGCCCCTACGACCGTGAAATGAAAGCACAGACGGTCACTTACCCAAGGTGACTGGCCAAGTTCATGGAAACACAAAAGAGAAGGAGGTTCTTGATCATGATAAAGCCAGAGAACATCCCATTGTCCATTCCCAATAAGAATGAGAGTTGAAGCTGATGAATTTGGAAGAAAAGTGGTTCCTTTCTCCAACCTGATCTTCAAGCTGAAAGGGACACAGAGAGGAAATGCATAGAAACGCGAACATTTTCCTGCTTCAGTTCCTGGAATCAAACCATGTTGCTAACACACACAATCGACACAGGAACACCCCCCACCCCCACCCCCGCGGTCTTGGGCACAGCTCCACAGTGGGTGGTATCTGGGTCCCCTGGTCAGTAGGTTGGGCATCAAACGAAAATACAATCTGGCTTAATTTTCACTTATACTCAGGGTGTGGGATCATTCTCCTAATTTATTTTTTCCACGTCTCCAGTACTTTGTTTTACTTTTTAGCATGTTATCAAATGACCACTCGGTCCTATCATTAGAATCCATGCTTGAAGTTATCTAACTCTTTTGCTGTCAAATCCACAAGTGGAATGATTTTACCTTTCTGAAATGTTTGCCACGTGTTCAAAGCCAGCAGCCTACCCCTTGTTCTGCAAGGTGCTGAGAGGAAGTATGTGGAAAGAAGGGGAAAAAAGGCACATTTAAGAAACCAGTCTACAGGGTCACAATAACAGAACTGCTTATAAGGGAGACCGGTCACTTTCTAAGCATTTTGTCTCCATGACTAAATAACTTCATGTTACCACTGCGTTTGGGGAAGTCCCTCAGGCCTGTGCCTAATGAATGCATCCAAAATCCAGGCAGCCACAGTCCCGGGCCCTGCAAATAACCTGAGGGGAAGGCACACCTTTCTCAGTATGCGCATATCGCAAAGGGTGCACACGACACAGGAGCACCTCGTGTTCAAAGGGAACATTTTCCCAAGGAAACCCCAGGCCAACTCCAGAATTGGAAATCACACAACAGGTACTTCGACCTCAGAAGCGAAGGCCCTAGTGTCCCGAAGGGCAGGGTGCCATGCTGCCATGCGGTGGTCGCCTGGGCGCGTCCCGGGGCTTGTCGCCTGACCCGGGCTGGAGCCCCGGCGGGGAGCACGCGGCGCTGCATGCGGGAAACCTGGGCGGCGCCTCCTGCTGCCCCTCGGCCCCGAGTCCCCAAAGACAGGCTGCGCTCTCACAGACCTCCGATCGCCTCGGGGGCTTGCAGGCGCGGGGGGGGGGGGCGGCACTGCGGAGCCGCAACCTCGGCCACCCCGACTCCCGCGTCTCCGCTGGGTCGGCCTCCCGCCCGGTCCGCAGCAGCGCGCGCCGCGCCTCCCGCTCGCGGGCCCTCCCTGGCTCGTTCTGGTTCTCGCACACCTTCCCGCTCCGGCGCCGGGTCCGAGCCGAGCGCCACGCCGCGCAGCGCCTTCCGCCTTGGCGAGGAGCGCGCGGTGCAGCGGCGGCTCCGAGTCCCCCGCCTCCAGCAAGCAGCCCGCACGACCCGCGCGCGACACCCCGGCGGAGCCCGCGCCCACACCGCGCGCCTCAGAGCCCCGGGGCTGGCGGGGCCCTCCAGGTGGGCGATTTCGCCCCCCCATTCCAGTGACGGTGGCGGCGGGTGTCCCCACGCCCCGGTTCCTGGCGGCAGGCGGGGTTGGCGCTGCGCCCCGATGCCCGGTGCGGCCAGGCTCCGCCGCCCTGTACGCCCCTGCCCTCCAGCGCGGCTGTGCTCCCGCAGCCGCCGGGGGAAAGTTTGCGCTCCCGGCCGCCCGCGGCTCCCCTCCTTTCTCCAGCTCCCCTCCCGGACCTGCAGTCCAGGGCTCCGACGCCCCGAGGGCAGGAGTGCGGGCCGAACTGGGGCTGCCCGTGCTCTCACCCTCGCCCGCAATCCTTACTCCACTGCCCGGCCCCGCGCGCCCGGGGCTTACCCTGCGCGCCGGACCCGGGAGGCGAGCCGTCGGCCACGGTGCATTCTCCTCCTGCTCTGCCCGCTGTCGCCCGACTGGCAGGCGCGGAAGGCCGGTGCGGCGTCACCGCCCCATGCTGCCAGCGCGAACTTGCCCAGCGCTCGGGGCCGAGCCGACCCCCGGCGGAGCCGATCCGGCTCCCCGCGCTCCCGCGGCCGCCCTGCGGCTCCGCTCCGCGCCGCGCCCGAGGCCGCGCGCTGCCCGCTGCAGATCCCTCCGCGCCCGGCGCACCCGCGCTCGCCCTCACCTCTCCAGAGCACCACATGCCAGCCGGGCCCCAAGGCACCTTCCTCTGCGGAGGCGCCGCCAGAGGCCGCCAGATCCTCACCAAACGCGCCGCGCACCGGGGGTCGGAGGGGCGGGCTCAGGGCCCCGGTTGGCCTGCTTTGGGATAGGCCGTTTCTGTGGAAGTTTCTTTTCTTTCTTCTTTTACAACAGCTGTCATCTCTGGTGGCTTTGTTCGTGGAATATGGGTTTCTATTTTTAAACTATTTTTTATTTTTTAATTTTACAGTTGGCATCCAATATTATATTGGTTTCAGGTGTACAACATAGTGATTCAACATTTATAAGACGTAAGAAGTGATCCCTCTGTTAAGTCTAGTACCCACCTGACACCATACATAGCTATTAAATATTATTGACTATATTCCCTATGCTGTACTTTCCATTCCCGTGACTGTTTTTATAACTAGCCATTTGTACTTCTTACTCCCCTCACCTTTTCACCCAGCCCCCAGCCCCGCTTCCATCTGGCAACCATCAAAATGTCCTCTGTATCTGTGAGTTTGTGCATTTATTTTGATTTTTAGATTCCACATATAAGCGGAGCCATATGGTCTTTGTCTTTGTATCTCTGACTTATTACATTTAGCATAGTGCCCTCTAGGTCCATCCATGTTGTCCCCAAATGGCATGATTTCATTCTTTTTTATGGCCAAGTAGTATTTTATTGTACATATGGACCACATCTTCTTTATCCATTGATGGGCACTTAGGTTGCATCCTATCTTGGCTGTTGGAAATAATGCCGCGAGAGACATGGGCACGCAGAGGCCAGATGCTGCTTGTCTGGGGTTTGTGGACCTTTGAGAGTTTAGAAAAGACGTTGACATGAGCCAAGACAGGCCGTTTGTTCGCAAACACCGCTGGAAGCAGCGGGGCGGGCCTGCAGGTTGGCTGGGGAGGTCTCCGGGAATCTACGGCAGGAGAGTTTGACCGGGGCTCAGATCTGGTGCCCCTGCCCTCCGTGGAGGGAAAGCTCAGCCAAGGAACAAAATGGCAGAGAGAGTTGCCCCTCCAGTCACCCTGAAGCCGCACGATCCAGTTTCTCCCCATGTTTCCCTGGTGTCTTTCCAGCTGCCGCCCCAACGCTGGCGCTCAGCGCGAGCGAGACCGAGTCCGTGCAGGGCCTTTGAGGGAAGGTCTGGGACTCCAGGGGCCTCCGCCGCACTCAGCCACAACCCCCGGTGGTCTTCAGCCGGAAGTTCTGGGGACTGGGACCCCTGGATCCACAGAGTGGGGTTCTCTCTGCAGATCTTTCTTTTCTTTTTAAATGTGTTTTTATTGATTTTTTTTAGAGCTAGAGGAAGGGAGAAAGAGATAGAAACAACGATGTGAGAGAAACATCGATGGGCTGCCTCCTGCACGCCCCCTACTGGGGATCGAGCACAAAACCCGGGCATGTGCCCTGACCAGGAATCAGGGCTCAGTGCACTGAGCCACACCACTGGAGAGACTTCTCTGCAGATATTTCTTGAGGGCTTTCAGGACCATATTGGGCACCCCCTGCAATAACCACTTGTCCCCCTTTGTAGAACAGAGATAGAAAGGGAGGGTCAGCAGTGGCCGCGATGGCTTTCCTCTTCTAGGGCCAAGCGGAGCTCCTCCCTCACCTGGCCTGGTCCTTCTCAGCACCATCCCTGTCTGCATCTCCAATTCTCTGCAGAGACCAGCTCCCGAGACTCTTCAGTACCTATAATTCATTGCAACGGGAGGGAACCCCGGAGTTCAGTTGGACTAGGCTAGAACTCAACCCTTATGTAACTGCAGCTCTCATTTAGGGGTTTTCTAAATGCCTGTTTCGCGATTAGAAACCACATGTCAACAGCTAGTGGCAGGGAGTCAGCATACCAGGGGCCCTCCGGGGCAGGGCACGGGGCAGGGAAGGGGGTCAGCACACCTGGGGCCCTCCGGGGCAGGGCGGGGCAGGGCAGGGGGTCAGCACACCTGGGGCCCTCCGGGCAGGGCACAGGGCAGGGCAGGGGGTCAGCATACCTGGGGCCCTCCCGGGCAGGGCACGGGGCAGGGCAGGGGGTCAGCATACCTGGGGCCCTCCGGGGCAGGGCAGGGGGCAGGGCAGGGGGTCAGCATACCTGGGGCCCTCCGGGGCAGGGCACCGGGCAGGGCAGGGGGTCAGCACACCTGGGGCCCTCCGGGCAGGGCACGGGGCAGGGCAGGGGGTCAGCATACCTGGGGCCCTCCGGGGCAGGGCAGGGGGCAGGGCAGGGGGTCAGCATACCTGGGGCCCTCCGGGGCAGGGCACCGGGCAGGGCAGGGGGTCAGCACACCTGGGGCCCTCCGGGCAGGGCACGGGGCAGGGCAGGGGGTCAGCATACCTGGGGCCCTCCGGGGCAGGGCACGGGGCAGGGCAGGGGATCAGCATATCTGGGGCCCTCCGGGAAGGGCACAGGGCAGGGGGTCAGCACACCTGGGCCCTCTGGGGCAGGGCACGGGGCCCTGGCTGCCACCAGGGCCCAGGCGTACACCGGGTTTCATTCTGGGGTTGTGTCTGTCTTTGGCTCAGTGGTGCAGGTCCTAAGAGGTGAGTGTGAAACTAGTGACATTTGGGTGGAAATTGGGTCCCATTCAAGCAGCACAAACCAGATGGATGCAGCCCAAGCCGATAGTTCAGCCTGGTAAACCAAGGTTGGGTGTTCAGCCCCCAGTTAGGGCACATCTAAGAATCAACCAATGACTATAAAAAAGCGAAGCAACAAATTGATGTTCCTCTCGCTCTCTCTTTCTCTTTCTCTAAAAAAAAAAAAAAAACAACAAAAAACAAAAAAAACAATAAATGAAAGAATTTTAAAAATAAATGTTAGTTTTTGAATTTCACAAAAAAACTAGTGGAGGTATTTCGCTAAATAGACACAGTACGAAAACATGCTACAGAAGGAATTTCGGATTTCGACAATAAACTTGAAGCTTTTTTTTTTTTTTCCAGGAATGCAGTCAAAGAACACAGAAAACTCTACACTATTTATGAAACCAGGTGAGTCCCTGATATCTTCAATTTATCACTAATAATACAAGTATTAATAGCCATTGTAATATTAGCTTATGACTTATCTTTATGTATTTTGTGTTTGAGACATCTACTAATCATTGTAAAGCATACCTAGAAACTAAATAATAATAACAAATAGCATAATTTGTTACTTAATTTCTTATGCAATTTTGCTATAATTTCAAATCAAATTTTTATTTAATTCTGATAGGGCATCTGATTCCAAAACTAAGTGCATCCCAGTTTAAAATAGAGTGTTTTCACACTGGAAGAAACTTCAAACTTCAAATCATCATTTCACATATTTCAAAAGTTTGCCCAGAAAGATTGGGTTTGCCCAGGATCACACAGCTATTTAGCT